ATGGGTAATGTTTAATTGACTTCTGTTTTCAAGCTAACGATGATCCATGTAAGATTTATTATTATTAATACATGTTTGACAACATGTACACCATCTATCATGTATTATAATGTTGATCTGCATAGCAGAGGACAAGATAATTGACATTCACTCATAAATCATAATGAATGTATCTCTAATGGGGTCATAATTATAACTCTGAATTTGTGCATTACATTCTTTTTTGTTAAGAAGAATGTATTCTTGATCACAAACAGTGGCTACACTAAATCCTAATAGAACAGTGAATGTAAGCATATAAGAGTGCACTTTTTGATACAAGAAATAAATGTATGTACATTATGTTACTCGGTTACCGAGTAATACCATATGAATCTGTAAAAATAACTTTAGTCGAAGAAGTGCCTCTAATGACAACTGTGGTAAAGCAGCTAGCATAAACTTTTCATTAGTGACCATGAAGCCAATGTGGGTGGGTATTAAAGAGTTTTGCCTTTCGTCATCAACGATGAATCTCATTATGTACATTAGGTATTCTATAAAAGCTGCCACTTGTGCTATAATTTTTTGTACAAACTTATCCTTTCGAAAAGTTGCTATAATTGATTTGTAGTACTTTCTTTGAAAATGTTCTCCGTTTTTCTCTTTTGCTGTTTTCTTGTCGTTGCTTCAATTGACGGTGCTTTAATTACAAAGAAAAGAGATGTAGCTGCTGTCACTGGCTGGGTACACAAAATCAGCAAGAGGCATAGCTCTCAACTGGAAGTACGTCAAAACACTGCTTGTTTAAACCAGCTTCAAAGCGACCTTCCTTCCTATTGCAACTTCACAGAACTTTCAGGTGGTCTTTTGGATCTTCCTGCTTCATCCCTCACTGATGATCAGCTCACTGCTCTCAACAATGCTTACTCTCAATTTTGTGTCCCAGCTTGCATCGATCCAATTGACACCTACTACAATTGTATAGTGACGAATGATGATACCTTAAGGAATTATTTCGTTACCTTGGTCCGTCAAGGTGTTTGTGGACAGGAGAGTGGAGACTATTGTGAGGTGAGGTTCATAAGGGAATATGAAGGAGATTACTCAAGTTTTCTAAGCCTATTAAGTTCCTGTCCCACTAGTACCTCTGGTGGAAGATCCTGCAGTTCAGCTCCTTCCACTTGTCTTGATAGTGTTAACACATTCAGTGAAAGGATGGGTTGCTGTACTGAGCCATATCTTGGATCTGATGTCAACTCATGCAGTGGTGTTAGTGTGGAGGATGCTTGTACTGGAGTATCCAGTGCTACTGGACTAGTAGCTCCTGTCTTTGTGATGATACTCAGTTTGGTTGGATTTTTGGTCTGAAGTTGCCATTGCTGTGTGTCATGAATATATAGAGACTATAGCTCTTGAATACATGTACTTTAATTAGTTAGTTATATATAACACATATATATTGCTGTAGAGCTTGAATTTTTGAGGTTGTTTTTGATTAAGAAACTCAGTTTTCAGTAATAAAAATTAGTTGTCAAGTTAATTGCACTTTCAGATTCCATCATAAACTTGCATTTAAATCATGATGCATTTATCATGGATTAATCATATTGAACTAGCTAGACTAGAACTGTTTAAATTTGATTTTGTATATATGTACATTTCAAAAATTGAACTCTGGCACTGCTTTAACTGTTTGTATATCAGGTTTCCTAGTAATTTTCACACATTCAACTCATGCATGTAGTCAGTATAAGCCTTTACAGTAATAATACATGTGCTATATTACCATCAAACTGAGTATCATCAGAAAGACAGGGAGCTACTAGTTCATGCAGCAGCACATGCAGGATACTCTATAGTACGAGTTTGAATTCAGTTTTGAGGTTGTTTTTGATAAAGAAAATTGGTTTTCAATTAATAGTAAATTGCCAAGTTAATTGCGCTTTCTGCAGATTACATCATCACAACCTGCATTAAAGTCAGTGATGCATTTATCATCAATGAAGAACTACTTAAATTTGATTTATATGCACATATTAAAAAAACAATGTACTAGCATCTTCCTAATGAACTCTGGCAGCCGCACTACTTTGACAGTTTAACTGAGACAGGTTGCCTGCATCAAAGTTATGATTGCCTATAATGTCAATGTGCACCTTGACTTAGTATCCAGTGCTACTGGACTAGTTGCTCCTGTCTTTGTCATGATACTCAGTTTGACTGTTGGGTTTTTGGCATGATTGTTGATATGGATCTAGATACATGTATTACTGATGCATGGCATAACATGAACAGACTCCAGATAATTATTTATTCATCATCTGTTGGGCGTTGTTAATCAATTATTAACAATGAATGATATTCAGAACGAGGGGTCCGACATCCAAATGTCAAAAAGGGGGATGGGTCTGGCTACGCGAGACTCGATTCAGAATGGTGAGGGTTTTGTCCTCGGTTTTGTCACTGAGAGTGAAACGGTGGAAAAAGGAAGCGTTCTACAGAACCTGAGACTGAGTCGACTGGTACTACAACAGAGGAAAGGCCCTCTAAGTGTAGCCATCTTGAGCCTGATTTTGAACCACCTTCAGACCTCTATCAAAAGGATGAGTAGGACCAAGTGCAGCTACTGATTAGTCTCGCTAGCTACTGATGAAGCTAAAACTTCACAAAATAAAGAAGTCAATTATTTAAAAAAGTGGAAATAATAAAAGAGATTTATAATGGTAATATTTTTGAAGATGCATTCTTTTTGTCTCTAATTCTTGGGATACCAACTGTTATTGTTGCTTTTGCTAGCAGTTTCGATAAAGACTTGATTAACTGGCCCAAGATATATGGTGAAGCTACTCTTCAAGAGATTATACTAGCAACTATCATACAAGTAATACACACAATTATGAGTAATAATATGACGGCCTACATGTTCATGGACATGGTGTTTTTATTTTTTTAGATTTTTGGTGGCTATCAGTTTTATGTGTCTTTACAAGTCATTGAAGCTTTGTTCAGCTAGCATTGACATACTAATAATAGCACTGGCTACCACCATAGCCTTTGTTTACTCTGTAAGTACAGGGACATACTGTTACTCCTATGTATGGTGTACATAATGATATCAATTGGTTTATTTTTGAATGGCTGTAACTTGAAAATTTGAAGTCAGGATTGGTTCAAACTTTTTACATGGCATAAGGACATCAATATGTATCAGAAAATGTAATAAAAATTTGGGTTAATTTCGGAGTCATTTTTGAAGAAAAACCATGGGCTATAGCCTTGTGTATTTTTCAGATTTTGGCTCATTTTTTAAAATGGCCATAATTCGGAAAATTAAAGTCGGAATAAGCTCAAACTTTCTACACAGCATAAGGACATCAATATGTATCAAAAAATGTAATAAAAATTTGGGGTGATTTCGGAGCCATTTTTGAAAAAAAAACCATGGGCTATAGCCTTGGGTATTTTTCAGATTTTGGCTCATTTTTTAAAATGGCCGTAACTTTAAAAATTGCAGTTGGAATTGACTCAAACTTTCTACATAGCATAAGGACATCAATATGCATCAAAAAATCTAATAAAAATTGGGGGCAATTCCGGAGCCATTTTAAAGAAAAAACCATGGGCTATAGTACAGGGTATTTTTCAGATTTTGGCTCATTTTTAAAATGGCCGTAACTCGAAAAATTGAAGTCGGAATAAGTTCAAACTTTCTACACGGCATAAGGACATCAATATGTATCAGAAAATGTAATAAAAATTTGGGGTGATTTTGGAGCCATTTTTTGAAAAAAGGCATGGGCTAGAGCTTTAGGTATTTTTCAGATTTTGGCTCATTTTTTAAAATGGCCGTAACTTGAAAAATTGAAGTCGGAATAAGCTCAGACTTTCTACACGGCATAAGGACATCAATATGTATCAGAAAATGTAATAAAAATTTGTAGTGATTTTGGAGCCATTTTTTTGAAAAAAAGCATGGGTTAAACAAAAGGGAAAATCTCAGAAATTGGTTTATTTTTGAACCTGCCATAACTCACCAGAATTCAACTCAAACTTCATGTATCATGTACATTTTGTTGTACATGTACATTTGTAAAGGTATCAGCTCTCTCTCTCTCTTATTCTCTTCTTTTTAGGTTATTATTGTTTTTGTGGCTGCTTTTGTGACTAGAAAGTACATGAAGACCTTTTTTGAAACTCTGCCCATGCTACTCATGTTTGTGTCTCTGGGACACTGGCTTGAATACACTGCAAAGGTATTACAAGATCTCATAAGTATATAATTAAGAAAGTTTTTAGGGCAAGACGTTTAAAGCACTTGCAAACTAATGTCACTGCAAGCAACTAATTAATGAATTAATAAACTAATTAATTAATCAACTAACTAATTAATGGCATGGCTAGATTAATGACCTCACCCACTGACCCACCCACCGATGAAGTGTAATTATTGAATTAATAATAACCATTAATAACTACCAATAATTGCACATGTAGCAAAGAGATGATACCAGTAGAGCTAAAGTGCAGACTCCAGAAAGGAGATAAAATTAGAGTGAGTTACTATTAATAGTATCATTTTGTATTGCATCATGTGATACTAAATATAGAACAGTGTCACTATTGTAACTTTGTAGGTAAGACCAGGAGAAAAGGTACGAGTAGATGCGGTTATTCTTGATGGTGATTCATCAACTGATGAATCGCTAATTACTGGTTAATCAATGCTCGTGCAAAAGAAACCTGGTACATATAAATGTATTATGCATACAATATTTATATTATAGAGATAGGGCAGGTATGGAGAAAGATGGAGAGTATTTATAGTGTCTGTCCTCTTATTAGGTGACTCGGTGATTGGTGGTTCAGTGAAGGAACGTGAGAATAACACATGATCTTGTGTAGAGTGTAGTTGTACAAAGTAACTGGAGGATTATTGTTGGATATACTTTAAACTGTTCTCCTCCTATTAATTAAAGCCACACACATTGGGTCTGACTTCATGCTGTCTCAAATTGTTGGACTAGACTTGTTGAAGAAACCCAGACTTCAAAAGTGAGAGCAAAAGAGTGAAAGAATTATTTTAATTTTGTGCTTTCGTTTTCACTCTATATCCTCTCTCTCTTTCTCCCTCCCTCCCTCCCTCTCTCTCTCCCTCCCTCCCTCCCTCCCTCTCTCTCTCCCTCCCTCCCTCCCTCCCTCCCTCCCTCTCTCTCTCCCTCCCTCCCTCTCCCTTCCTCTCCCTCCCTCCCTCCCTCTCTCTCCCTCCCTCCCTCCCTCACTCCCTCTCTCTCTCAGGCTCCTACTCAGCATATAGCTGACAGGATACCTGGTTACCTTGTGCCTCTCATTCTATTTTTTCATTTATTTTTTATCTGCTGTTTGATTGCAAGACCACACTGGAGCCCATGTAAGTGTATGCACTGTTAACACAGGATATACTAATGAATATCATTAGTATCAGTTTGGCAGCCCACGATAGCCTTATCCAGTTGCATGCATTTATAAAGGGCTCACACATGTTAATCTCATTGTCTATAATATTTCTTGTCTAAAATTTTTGAAAGGGAAAGTGCTTCTGCACAAACCCTGCTTTCAATTCATTAGTATTTCATTATGCAAGTACTATATATCCTCAAGTAAATGACG